TGGTAGAAGCTATAAATATTGATTGAATAACTAAATAAATAAGCGCAGTCATCACCTGTCCCAACATCATACCTGGTGGCTTTAATAATTATTCCCTATACTTAAGTATAAGGAATACACACACACACACACACACACACACGCATAATGCCTGTTAATATTGCAAATACAAAGTTACTTTCTCTTCTGAGAAGCAGTGAAATCTTTAATGCACAGGTCATAAGATCCAGTTCCCTGGAGGTATTTAAACAGAGGTGGATATTGAAGTTGGTGGGGGCTCAGCCTCAGATGACTTTTAAGGTCTCTTTCAACCACAACTCCTGGAATGTGAAAGTGTATAAAGTACCTCAGGCCTTCCATCTTGTTCATGATATTTGAACAGCAGAACAAGGGCAGATAGAATGCTATTGGTTCTAGTGTTGTTTGTTTTCCTTTAAGATCAAGAGATCCAGTGCTACTGTTTTGAATAATTCTAAATGTTTCTCTGCATTTGGGAAAGGCTGCTAAATTTGTCTACCATTTCAACTTCTGGTAGACATTTTTTAAGATGAAATGAGGCAACCGATTAAAATGAAAATGAAAAGCCTAACGTTTTGGAGGTAGACCAGATTTCTAGAGTTCTAAAATCTGCTTGCGCACAGGGTTTGCAAATGCATTCCCACTGTTCAAAGCTGAATATTTATAAAATCGTGTTCTGGAGTGAAGATTCTATGAAAGGAGGTAATTGATAGTGTGGCCTTTACAAGGCTGGCATAGGCCAAACACACAAATTGGTGGCCTCTGATGATTCCAAGAGCAGTTGTGTTTTGTGTGTCTCATGCTATGTTAAAAAAATCCAAAATGTTACCAACATTTAAAACTCAGAGGTTTTCACATGCATAAAAATATATATTTCTGCTTTTCCTGAAAATCTGGAAAGACTATTATGCATTGCTGTAAAGAAATACCTAAGACTGGGTCATTTACAAAGAAAAGAGATTTAATTGGCTCCTGAGAAGGGGAAATAGGCAAGTCCCATGGCAAAAGTAGGAGCAAGCGAGAGAGAGAGAGAGAGAGGGAGAGAGAGAGAGAGAGAGAGAAAGAGAGTAGGAGAGGAGGGGAGGAGGGGCCACACACTTTTAAAAGACCAGATCTCAGGATAACTCACTCACTGTCACAAGAACAGCACCAGAGTGATGGTGCTACACCATTCATGAGAAATCTGTCCCCATTATCCAGTCACCTCCCACCAGGGCCCACCTCCAACACTGAGGATTGCAATTCAGCATGAGATTTGGGTGGGGTACAAATATACAAACTATATCAACTGTCTACAGTGGACCCACATTCTCTCATGGCAATAAAAGATAGGATCTGACGGTCTCTGGCCCCTTATACTGGGACATACCACCCCAGGGTATCCCCACTTGGACCCTTCTTTCACTTCTGTCATCCGCCTGGCCACTGAAGATGTTTGCTTTGGTTTCCCCTCTCAGACAAAACTGTGACTCAGGAGGGCTGGCATGGCCAACACCCTTCTTGCCATTTGACTGTGCCTTGAATGCAGGGAATATATGTCTTGCTACAAGTTGTTACACTCCAGCACCGTTGCTTCTACTTGGTAGAACTCAAGAACTCTCAACTTATCCTGCTCCCATTTCATACCTACCAATTCCTGGTTTTCCCTCTTTTGTATCCCCCAAATCTGGGCACTTTTTTTTTCTTTTTTTTTCTTTTTTTTTTTTAGTGAAAAGGGCTGGTATTAATAATTACGGTTGACCCCTGAACAAGGCAGGAGATAGGTGCTGACTCCTCATACAGTTGAAAATCTGCATATAATTTTTGACTCCCCCAAAACTTAGCTACTAGTAGTCTTCTGTTGACTGGAAGCTTATTGATAACATAAATAGTCGATTACCATATTTTTTGTATGTTATATGTATTATATACTTATAATACAATAAAGTAAGCTAGAGAAAAGAAAATGTTTTTAAGAAAATCGTAAAAAATATATTTACTATTCATTAAGCGGAAGTGGATCATCATAAAGGTCTTCAACTTTGTCTGCACGTTGAGTAGGCTGAGGAGGAGGAAGAAGAGGAGGGGTTGGTCTTGCTGCCTCAGGGGCAGCAGAAGCAGAAGAAAATTCCCATATAAGTGGACCTGCTCAATTCAAGGGTCAACTGTACTCTGGGACAACATGTGTAAATTGGAGCTATTGTAGGTGTAATAGTTTTCTAGGGCTGCTATAACAAAGCATCACAAGCCACCTGGCTTAAAACAACATAAATTTATTTTTTCACAATTCTGGAGACCAGAAGTCCAAATTTAGGTATCAGCAGGGTCTTCTCTTTCTGGAGATTCTGAAGGAGAAAGCCTTTCAGTGCCTCTTTCCTAGCTGTTGGTGGTTGTTGGTGGTACTTGGGGCTCCTTGGCTTGTAGGTACACCCCTCCAATCTCTGCCTTCCTTATCACATGAGATTCTTCCAGCATGGCTGTGTCTCTGTTTTCTTTTCTTATTAGGACACCAGTCATATTGGATTAAGGACCACCATTTTAGCTTAATTATCTTTGCAAAGACCTGATTTCCAAATAAGGTTATAGGTTACAGGTTACAGGAGGTTAGGACAGCAACGTATCTTTTAAGGGACATAATTTATATCATAGCAAGCTAGGTCATTTGTTCATGCTACCTCAGGCCCAATGCCTTCCTGCAAATTGCCCTTTATTTGTCCAGACAAGTCTGCTCAACACCTCACCCAATCAGATCCCAAAGCTCTAAACACTTATCCTTCCTTATCCTGCTTCCTCCATGAATGATCTCATTCCATGTTACTGTTAGGCGACAGGTCATCTGATTAAATAAAGGTAAGGAATGCTAAACTACATTGACTCTCTAAAGTTTATCTGCACTGTCTAATTAAAGATGATTTCTGAATTATAAGAGTAAAACATATTCAGTGCATAAAATTTGAATATTACATAGAAGCTACCCAGAGTTTGAATTATACCTCTGAGAAGCAACTGTTAATTTGATTTTCTTCCAGTTTTTATTCTTTGCCTCTTAAAAATCAAAATTGTATAATTTTATGTGTCGTTATAATTAAGCATTTTTTTCCATGTAAACTCTAGTATACTATATAATGTTAAATATTTGTTAAGTGTTTTCTAAATGCCAACTACTACCCTAAGTACTTTATGTGCATTATCTAATCTACTGTTAATAGTTATAATATTCTTAGTGGTAGATATGATTATTCCTATTTTACAAATGAGAAACTGAGGCAGAGTAAACCTAGAGAATTTTTTCTAGGCTACACAGCTAGTATTTCATAGAATCAGGATTCAACTCCAGCTCACCAAGCTTCAGAGCTTGCACTCACAGCACTGTGAAGAATATCTTAACTTAGAAACGAACCATAATTCGTTTTGATTTACACGGAAGCAAGAATCTCAAAAAGAATTGGCTTGGGTAATAAGGAAAAGACAAATGAATCTTGTATCTTTTCATCCCTTTTACAGCACCCCTCTCCCCAAAAGAGATCTCAACACTCAAATCTCAATCCTACATTTGCATGCACACACAAGCACACACTTACACACACATGTGTGCACACATGCATGCCCCTCTACCATTCATCTAGTTGTAAATCTAGGGAATTATTCTTCCCTTTTTCTGTGTGCCTCTTCCTCCCACAATCAACCCACTACCAAATTGGCTAAGAAGCCAGATTTGCTTCTTAGATACATCTTTAAACTGTCTTATCTCCATCTCCTCCAGGTCACCATCACCGGTGGCAGGGAAATGTGGCATTGCACCAGCTCTGCTCATTAATATCTTTGACAGTTGGGAACTTTTTCTCCTATTTACTTTCTACTGAGAAGTTAGAAATGTAGATATGAATGGTTTGAGTTGACACAGTACGCTGTCAGTTTCCCAATGGAAATGAATTAGGTAAAGGAACCCACATCAACTACTGGATAAGAATCAATGTGGGTGGTTTAGCTCTTTTCTGTCTGTGCTCTTTACAATATTCTAAGGCAGTTTTAAGCAATTGAGATTGTTTTTTACCTTCTGACAGTGCATCAAAAGGAGTGGCTTGAGCAGTCAATATTGGGCTATGGGGTTGACAGATCTGGATTCAAGTTGCAACTCGACTAATTATTTGTGTGACCTTTAGCAAGCTACTTGCTGTAAGCCTGTATTGGTTTCTTAGGACCACTGTCATAAATTACCACAAAATTGGTGACTTAAAACAACAGAAATGTATACTCTCAGTTTGGAAAGCTACAAGTCTGAAATCAAGGTGTTCACGGGTCTGTGCTTTTTCTGAAGCCCCTGGGGTAGGATCTTCCTTGTGGCTTCTTCCATCTCCTGGTAGCCCAGGTGTTCCTTGGCTTACAGCAGCATATCTCCAATATCTGTCCCCATCTTCACCTGGGTCTTCCCTCTGTGTCTTTGCCTTCACATGGCATTCTCTTGTGTGTCTCAGTTTCCTTTTCTTTTAAGGACTCCAGTCTTATTAGATTATGGCTCACCCTAATCCAGAATGACTTCATCTTAATTTGGTGACCTATTTCCAAATAAGGTCACATGCACAGGTGCTGGGGGTGAAGACTTTAATATATCCTCTTTTTCAGGGAGGGGAGGGGGTGAACACAATTCAACCTATAAGCCTCAAAACTAGCTTTCTGACCTGTGCAAGAGAGATAATAATACTACCTGCTAGATATGGTTCTTGTGAGGATTCAGTGACACACATGTCTGGGCCCTCACACAGTACCTTCAACATAACCAGAACTCAGCACAAACATCCCCAGTCTTCTACCTCCCTTTCCAGAACCTCCCCTCCTCTTCTTCTCCTACTCAGCTACCCCAGTCTGTCATTTTTGTTTACTCAGAGTAGAAACACAAAACAAGCAACCATAAGTTTACATATTACCTGACTCCATCCTTCCTGCCATTAATTTAGCAGGTGTTTTTGGTGAATTTTTCAAACGAATGTGTTTACCTTTCACAGTGTTTCCAGAAAGGACTCAAAGTTCAGTGGCGTGTAAAAGACTACTTTGTACTTGCCAGTACATAGTCCCCAGGTCTTCTGTAAGCACAGTTTCTTTGGATGAAAAAAGCTGTGAAGAAGCCCGTTCCCCTCCAGCACCATCTGGTAAAACTGATGAGACCCCATTGATTTTCACTGCCAGTGGAGAAACTGAGGAGAGAGCCAGAGGAGCACCCAAGCAGGCTTGGAACAGTTCATTTTTGGAACAACTGGTACAAAAGCCTAGTTGGGCACACTCAGTAAATCCTGTTCACCTGGAGGCTCAGGGCATACACATCAATAGACACACAAGACCTAAGGCCCAGCCCTTGAGCAATCCCAAGAAAAATTCTGGTAAGTATCACATTGTGGTTACTGATTCTCCTTGTTTCAACTGGTCACATTTTGTTTTCAACTTCAATATAAACAGAAAAAATATTGATTTCATGGCTAGTCCTATTCTAGAAGGTACCACAAGAACTACAGTAGCCAGTCCTCAATGAAAGTCTGCTTGTTGCCAAGTACTATATTGGAGGAGAGAACAGGTGTGAGTCGATGACAGGTAATTTGATGATTCAGTTATTGCACCTGACAATGACAGCTATTATCATCACAATTCCAGCCCCACTTACTAAGCTTTCACCATGTGCCAGACACTGTGCTGGGCATTTATATTATTTTATGAAATCTTAATATAATATTCAGGCAGATCATACTATTATCCCCGTTTTACAGACAACGAAGTTGTGAATTCATAGCACAAGATATAGGAGGAATGGTTCAAAGTAAGGACATGGCCCAGAAGGGATAAGTTTTGGAACCAGAAAGAACTGTGCTCAAATATCAGCTCTCTCCCATCTCAGCTCTGTAACCATTATCAAGTCCCATAAATGTTTTTGCAACCCAGTTTTTTCATCTGTAAAAAATGACAATTATTACTTCAAATTAAATGATTTATATAAATAAAATTTCCTGAACATAGTAAGGAATTAATGGGGGTGGTGATGATGGTTGTGGTACTTATGGTGCTGATGTTCAGACTGGAGGAGAGAAAATCTAAGGAAAAAAAAATGCGGATCTCCAAATATTCCAAGAGCTCTCATGTAGAAGAGGGATGAGACTAATGTTACATACTCTTCTCATTTATAGCAAGCTTGTCCGACTCATGGCCTATGGCTTTGTATGTGCCCCAACAACAAAGTTCATAAAACTTTCTGAAAACATGTTTTTTTTTGTGCGTTGTATTTTTTTTTGGTTTTTTTTTTTTTTTTTTTTTTTGTTTTTTTTTTTTTAGCTATCATCAGTGTTAGTGTATTTTATTTATGGCCCAAAACAAGACACTTTTTTTCTTCCTATGTGGCCCAGGGAAGCCAAAAGATTGGACAGCCCTGCTTTATAGGGATCTTTTGAGATAGGTTCCCTCCACATGTTTGTACAGTTTGTTGGAATTTACTAGAAGACAAAAGAGATAGATTTTGACTCAATACAAAGGAGAACTTTCTTTGAACTAGAAGAGAATATACTGCATGGGCTAGAAGGGCTGGGAGACCTTCTTCCAGAAAGACTATGTCAGAGATTCCTTTGTTTCTGGGAGCTGGGCCTGGTGATGAGAAACAGAAGATGCTGGTTGGCTAACACTTTTGAATTCTTACTATGAACAAGGCAATATGTTGAAATTCGAATGTATATCTTCAGTTTTGATCCACATGACCCTCCTCTGAGATAGAAACTGTTATTTTCCTATGATTTAGTGCAGAATCCAGGTCAGAGTATTTCTAGATCCAGGTTCTAAATATGACTATAGTGACTCTTGAGCACTGAGCACTTGCCATGTACTTGATGCTCAGCATTTTGTCAGGTTCTTTCCTCCAATTCTTAGCTAGTTTCCTTTCTCATTTCAAGTCTTTGACTTGCAATGTCACCTACTTAGTTCTTTCTCAAATTCCTGTCTCAGTTTAATTTTCATCATAGGATTTATTTACCAGCTGGCACTTAAAATTTATTCATTCACTTACTTGTTAGTCTGCTTCTCCTCCCTACTTTTTATCGCCTGCCATGTTCCCTTTGTATCCCCAAGGTCTAGAATAGTGCTGAGCACATACTGGGCATTCAGATATTATTAAACGAATGAACAAACTTAATCTCACTAGCAACCCTGTGAAGTAGGTAATATAACTCCCATCTTTCGGGTAAGGACAAAGAGACTTAGGCCAGGTCATGTGCCAAGATTGGAATCTATGAAGTCCTGACCCCAGAGCTTTATTTCATTATACCACACTGTCCCTTTAAGTTTTTTTTTTTTTTTATGTATCGTTACTAAATTGCTTTCAGGGAAGGACATTTCTATCTTTTTTTTTTTTTTTGACTCAAAGCATAGGAAAGCATATCCTGTCTAGGTCATGCCCTGTTGCTCCAAACTCCAAAGCTACATCAGTGTTCTCTAGTGTATTCTTCTTGCACTGAATATTGTTGGCAGTGAATGGTCCATCTGACAGGGCCAGAAATCCAAATCAACAGCTATTAAGCACCTAGTGTTCACAAAGCAACACGCTTGAAAGTTTTCATTTACTTGGAGATATTAAAATGCCATTCTACCTTTATTTCAGGAAGTGATTCCTGCATTGGAGAATTCAGATTCACAAAAAAATTTTCACTGTTTGACTTGGGCATGTGACATGTGCAGAGGGAGGTACTCAGTACATACTAGGCATAGAACAGAGTGTAATGAACTAAACTGAATTACATAAAGATAGACTGACTGACTGACAACCACTGTTAGGAAGGTACTATTCATTTTAATTTTTACGTATTTTTTGAATTTCGGAATGATCTGAGTTGCTCTAAATATTCTAGACATCTATATGCTATTAAAAACCTTTTGAAAGCTTCTAGAAAGTGATTTAAACACATAAATTATCTTAAGTCCCTACTGAAGAATTGGACTTTAATTTGTGTAGGTCAACGGGCAGAATTTCTCAGGTAAAAGCTCCACGATTTATATATGTATTTATATATAAATCTTGAAGTTTATATATGCAATATATATATATATATATAAGTTTATATATATATGAACAAGTAGGTAAATATATGTATGTGAATATATATATATATTCACACACACATATAGCAGTCTTGGCTATGTTGTAAGAAAACCACATCTTTTGTATGGAAAAATTATTTTGTTGGGCAAAGAAAGAGAAAAATCAAACTTATTAGTATTAGTGGATATGTGTGTGTTATGTAGACCCAGTCTTAGGTTAATTTACTGTTTGTTTTAATCTTCAGCTGGTTTGAAGTTTCCAATAAAACTAATTAAGTAACAGCCTTTTGTTTTTTTAAAAAATCATCAGTTGACAGTCTACAGGGACTGTAGACACATTTGCTTTCACATATCCATTAATAACTCCACTTGACAATTTTCCATTCACAAACTTTCCCCTCATTTAGAAGTTCGAGCCCTATTTTAGCCACCGATTCTTCTGTGTCTCTCTCTTTGGGGGTTTTGAACAGTTTTCCTTGAAATAGAAAGTTTTCTGAGGATTATGCAAAAGCTATATATATATTGAGGCGTTGGGGAGGTGGGAAGAACAGGAAGGGAATAGATAGCATTTTTGTTTTCTTAGATAAATGTGGGGAGGCAGGTGAGGATCATGTCAGGGTTTTATTTATTTATTTATTTATTTATTTATTTATTTATTTATTTATTTATTTTTCTTTCCCCTCTGAGCACATTACAAATGTCGATTTCTCAGATGTCCAGTTGTCGCGGGGGCGCAGTGTGGTCCCGCACACTTGAGCCTCATCTCTGTCCTGCTTTCCTGCTTTGCCTTCCAGGTTCCACCGCCAGACCTTTCACTGCCATTGGCCTCTGCAGGAGGAGCCAGACCCCCTGCGCCCTGCAGAGCGCCGGCCCGAGTAACGCAGAGCTGGAGACGAAGAAGAGGATGGCAGCCCCAGCAGGCTCTCAGGCACACCCCGACATCCAAAGCAGACTCCTGGGCGCATCCGGAAATCCCGTCGGAAGAGGCGCGGTTGCCATGGCGCCGGAGATGCTCCCCAAGCATCCTCATCCCCCGCGGGACAGGAGGCCTCGGGCGGACACCTCCCTCCATGGCAATCTGGCAGGAGCGCCCCTTCCTCTGCTGGCCGGTGCTTCCACCCATTTCCCCTCCAAGAGGTTAATAAAGGTTTGCTCCTCAGCACCCCCCCGCCCAACCCGGCGGTTCCATACGGTTTGTTCACAGGCCCTTTCTAGGCCGGTGGTGAATGCTCACTTACATTGACCGCTGCGAGGGAATTGTTCGGCGAGTGCTGCCCATCTTCAAATCAATGCCTGCTCAGAACAACAGAAAGGGCCTCAGATGTACTGGTTTCCACAGAACCATTGTTAGGCTTTTGTGAAGCATTTTTGAACCTAATAAATAATGTCAAAAGTCCGTAGCGCAGCCAAAAATGTTCCTTTTGAAGCATCTCTAATAGTATTTTTGTTCTGCGGTGTCTCCCAGTGTTACAAAGAATTTGTGCCTCACAATAGGGATGGGGTACATCGCGTGCCACTTTGCAACGTGCCTCGTGGGATTGTGAGGACCCCTCTTTGTTTTGCTTTCGCAGGTAAACGGTTTCACTTGCCAACTTCGCCTTTAGCTTAAGGATGTTTTCTAAGGGCCTTTAGAATTTCTAAACAGCGATTGGGAAAACATAATTGAATGTCTGTAATTTAATAATTTACATGAAATTTGATTACTCCTGATGTGCCCAGGGGAATTTTTCATGTCGTATTAAGGGTTTAATGTTAGAAACCTGAAGCTGGGCACTAGTTTGAGGCCCTGAAACACTTGGAACCAAGTTTAATGTAAAAGAGGTGCTGAATTTGCTGATTTGTAATACAAAATACTGGAGCAGCTTAGGGAACCTTTTATCAAACTGGTAATTTTAGGCAATACCTTTTATTTTGTTTAATATAGCAACTTTTCATCATGATGGGATGCTGATGCCAACTTTATCAATTGATTTTATGAGTTTAGGTTTTCTCTTTTTAATATAGTAGGGTTTTTTCCCCTTCAGAAACAAAGAGAAGTCAATGTGACCGATATGCTTATATGCAGTTTTGCACTCAAGTTCCTTGGAATTTTCCCAGAAGCTTAGATTCACAGAGTTTGATAGATGGAGGTTGTCAAATCTTACTGCATTTAAAAAACTTTTTTTTTTTGCTTTAGTTCAACTTAATAGACGTAGTATGATTACATTTAAGACAGCATAATGTCTCAAGTCCAAATTTAAGTCTCAAGGTTTTGAGAGGAATGAAGTGTTATCAGCAATAACTTCCTAACATTTAAGAGTCTGTTTAGTCCTTTGGAGACTGAAGACTGTTTACTTTTTTTTTTTTTTAATATTAGCATGCTTTAGGAATAATGCACTTTAAAGAAAAACGGTATCCCTAAACTTTAGAGCTTTCTTGGTTCCAGATTAATATGATTTTTATAATAAATATGCTTTTATTTTATTTATTAATATGGTTTTATTATAAGACAATGTACAGGTTATCAATGTTGATTTTTGTGGTTTCTTGAAGATATACTGGCATCTGCTCACCAGAGTTCATGTGACAATCATAAATTCAACTTCATGCCATTTGGTTGGAGATTAAGTGTGTAGGCAAACTCATGGACTTATATAGAAGTTTGATTCTGGGATATTTTAATTTGCTATTTAATTATGAGTTAACACAACTGATGTTTTTAGGTCAAGAAATCATTAAGTTACTTTAAAACAATTAACCAAAAATTTGTAATGGTCAATTTCAAGAATAGAAAATGTACTTGATGTAATAGATGGATTCCTTCAACTGTAGAAGTGCAAATTACTGAATTTATTAAAAATGCAAAACAGAAGGAGAGATCTTGTTCAGAATTCAGAAAAGGAATACAGGCTACAGATATAAAATATGTTGTATTCTAAAGAAGTTTCCCAAAGTGTTTTGTGAAACACTGGTGTAAGAAAGATAGTTTGTGAAATGGAGAGTCCGTAGATAAATATGTCTGAGAGACGCCCACTATGCATGCTCTTAGAGAGTCATAGTAACATTAGGTCCCGGAGAAATCCCATAATTAAAAAAATCTGATAAACTCTGTTTAACCCAATGTCTAGCAACCTTATTTAATCATGGAATCCTGATAGATTGGTGTGTGTGTATACACATATATGTGTTTTTGAGAAAATCCTATCAGTACTTTGTACCACCAGTGTCCTATGCAACACACTTGGGAAAACATTGCTGAGAACTCTGTTCTAAATACACCAAAGTCTCTGTAGATTTGTAGGGTTCAAAGTAAGGATTTCTTTTCACATTAGTGCGGTAAAAATCAGGGCTAAAGAAAGAAGCACTTTGAGACCCTATTCATCCTTGGAGCAGTGTAATGAACTGTCTCTGTTTATTTGTCCTCATTTTGGATGCACATGTCTGGGAGAAAATTAGTTGATCCAGCCCTGATCATGCTCTTTAGTGATGGATGAGAAGCATTTTCAACTCTGTCATCGTCATGGGCTGGAGGTCCTTTGGAATGACAGCTTCTTTTGTACTATAACTTAGACACAAATGCACCAAGGTAAATGTAGTGAATTCTTTACTAATACCATTTGTTCTGAAAGCAGCGCTAAATTAAACAGTCATAACCGAGGATGAATCCATTTAAGGAAATAAATAATATATTTTTATATGTAGCACAGGCAGTGAGGACTAGAATGAGGCCCTATTGTGTAAAATAATTGTTTCACAGGTTCTGAGTTACAGTTTGACTTTATTTCTTTTGTGGTTTGACTTATGGTTATGTGGCATTACCACATACTATAAGAATCTTTAAGGAACATAATATGCCACTTCATAGAAAAATATTTTTATGAAAGTTGCATTAGAAAATAAATATTGACAAATATAAAAATTTGGTGCATTGAAGAAACTAAGTATTTAGGATAGTCTCTAGTGAATAATGTTTACAAATAAGGACTCTTTATAATAGATAAAATAATAATTATAATAACAGCTAATATTTATTGTGTATTATACTAGAGACTGTCCTGTTTAACATGTATTAATTCATTTAGTCCTTATAATGGCTTCATGAAGTAGTTATTATTATCTCCATTTCATAGATAAGGTAGCTTCATCTTTAATGATAATAATGATAACATATACATACATATACAAATATGTTTTAAAAACCTGTATGTTATTTTATATATGGTGCTGTATTATACAATATATTATGAAAGCTAGTATATATGCATATATGAATATGTTTGTGTTCCACCTACATCTATAAATCAGTTTTTATACCCTGCTGTTGGTACATAAATGAGGTGAGAATAGAGACTCTACTCATATCCCGTCGCCTCCTGATTATATAGTAGAGAACTAGAAGTGATAATTATGGGTTGACAACATAGCATACATTTGAACATTTGAACTCTCTGAAGAACAAAGCATAAGAGATTATTGTCACATAGTTCTTTTTATTTGAAACAACATTATCCCTGTGAATGAAGGCTCAGAAAATAAGGGAAGGAGAGGTTGTTTTGAGGTTTACAAAAGATGGCAGCACTTTTAAGATTATTGGAGCTGACCAAAATCAGACTTGTGAAAGACATGGGATGTTGTAGTGGGAGCATTAAGGAAAAAGCTAAGGTACTGGGGCTGACCCAGATCTCAGGAGCCAAGGGTGCATTCCTATAAATGTGACCTGAACTCAGCGTCACTCCTACCACTTGGACAGAGTGTCTTCGCTGTTAAATTGGGATTACATGTTTTGTTTACTGCATATGATAACTTGGGTACCAAATTTGCTATTAAATGAAAGCATTTTGAAAAGTAAGAGTGGTATACAAATTCAAATCATTATTTTATGACTAATATAAACAATAATTAGTACATATATTATCATTGTTTATGCAGGGCTGATATAAAAGGTTATAGATCTAACTGCCTTACACTGACATTGAGCACTATTTCTGTTGTCTGTGTCATCATGTTCCTCTCTAAGAAGTTTTTATATACTATATCCTTTACCTTCATTCCAATACTGTGAGGTCAGTAGTATTATCCCATTTACCAGTGAGGAAACTGAAACACAGGGAGACAAAGCAATTTGGCCAATGACTACCTCCAAAAAAAAAAAAAACAAACATTACACTACAATGTCTTATTCAAAGCAAGTTATATGTTAAAAAAAAAAAAAACAATGTATGCAGTTGATGAATTTACAAACTATTCTGTGCAGAACCTCCAATTTAGAAAAGTTCAGATTGGGTACAGGATGCCATGTGGTATCCTCCAAATGTGATCTTCTAGTTCAGCTCTCTATAAAAGACTCTAAAACTACCCAGACAAGGGAAGGGATAAGATAATGTTTTTGTAACTACAAATGTCATGTTGAGGATTTGAAGTCACACAGGGACACAGGAAAGAGGTTGTTGTCAAGAGAAGACTCAACCTCAATAAAAATGCTCCAACCCTTTACCATGGAGTAATATGTAGCCATAAAAAAGAATGAGATGATGTCCTGTGCAGGAACATGGATGGAGCTGGAGGCCATTATCCTTAGCAAACTAACACAGGAACAGAAAACAAAATACCCCTTGGTCCTAGTTATAAGTGGGAGCTAAATTATGAGAACACATGAACACATACAGGGAAACAACACACACTGGGGCCTTTTGGAGAGTGGAGGGTGGAGGACGGGAGGAGGGAGAGGATCAGGAAAAATAACTAATGGGTATTGTTATGCCTAATACCTGGGTTATGACATAATCTGTACAACAAACCCCCATGACACAAGTTTACCTGTGTAACAAGCCTGCACATGTGTCCCTGAACTTAAAAAAAAAGAAAAATGCTTCAGAATTCTTAAGGTGTGTGGGGTCCCTCTTGCACAATCCAAGGTTTTTTTTTCTTTCCTTTTTTTTTTCTGCCATGTTTAGGCTTCCCGCTCTTGCTTCCTCCATGCTCCCATGCTCTGTGTTTTCCCTCCTCTATGGGAATCAATCTGATTTTGTAAGTCATGATATTGAGAGATATTGAGATCATGAAGTGTTAATTGGGTCCTTACCATCCTAGGTACTCTGAGAGAGATTTGAGAAATTTGATTCAACTCAACCAATAGGTATTGTACTCACCATGTGTAAGGCACTGGCCTTGGTGCTGGGGATGTCTACTGAAAAGGACACGGTCTTCTTCCTTGACTAGCTCAACCTAGTGCAAGGCTTAGTTCTTTCATTTATTCATTCTAAAATATTTACTGAACATCTGCTATGTACTGGATATGTTTTACTGGAGACAGAATAGTGAAGAGCCATTTTAATTAAGTGAGACCTAGATAGTGAAATGTGAAATAATGGCACAATGATATTTAAGTCCTTTGATGATCATCCTTTAGCCACAATT